TTGAACACAAGTCATTCTGTTCACAGATTGAGACATAATCATTTAACTTATTGAGCCTATCTACTAACTCCAAACATTTATTCTTATCAAACATGTTAATGAGCAAAGTTAAAAAGTAATGATTTAATACCTATACATTACCTTCAATCTTTCATTTAGATGTTTCGGTGTTTTCTACCATTTAAACTGTCTTCTTGTTTGGTCTCCAAGTAGTTTGCCTAATTTTTATCAAACTATTGGTGGTTCTATTATTAACGAATATTCGTTTAGTATAATATGAAGATGAAATAAGATTAGGATTGTCATTTTAATGACTTCAAACAATCATCTTATTAAATTTACTTGGTGTTGTTTATTTGTATCTTCCCATTGTTATTTAGGTCTGTAACTGATCAGTCTCTTATTGATATTGTGTATCATGTACGTATTACTTCGATATTACCTTCAATCACAAATTTTATAAGTAAAGATGAATGTTGGCTTGCAGTGAAATCCAGTTTGACACGCGTCTCTTCCTATTTAGGACTCGTCAGTTGCATATACCTGCATGTCAAAGTTGATATCCACCTCGTGACTCGAACCAAGTACCATTTGCTTCAAACAACATTCCGTTATCCACTCAGCTACTCAGTCAATCAGTCACCTGCAACGTAGGACCAGGCACCTATATACATCGGTCCAAGTTGTTACACCTCATTAGCACAGCAAGATAAACACCGGATTCATAGAAGTGGTTAATTCAGTGGTGGTAATATATAAAAGAAAGATTGTGTATAGGGAGATAGTACAGGAAGAAAGAATTAGTTCCTAGAAAGAAGGATATGAAGCGATTTTAATCTCTTAATTTAAGGAAGACGGAGAGTGTATACACCGACGCTATTCTGATCGATTCTAAGTGATGTCACCAAGAGTCTCTAACCATTAATTACGATAGTCACTCTGACCCCAACCAGGCCGTCTGCATCTACCAACATGGCTCAGACCAGAAGTTAGTGACTTCAAGCACTGATGCCACTTTTTGATTTGGGCTCCCCTAAATTTCTTCTAATTATCTCTAACACCGGTTAGAATTGCGCATCGTGTTAATCAGTGTTCAGGCATACGTAAGAACACGTGACCTAACCATCTCACTCAGCTACTAAGTCCTTATAGCTACTTGCTTGTGCAATGGTAGTAAAGTTTAAACTTACTTGGTGTTATTTTACTTGTATCTTCCCATTGTTATTTAGGACTGTAATTGATCAATCACTTAATGGTGTATATGTGTATCATGTATGGATTACCTTGATATCATCAACCATCACAAGCTTTATAAGTAAAGATCAATAATAATCGCTATCAGTGGAATCCAGTTTGATGCATGTTTCATCCTATTTGTAATCATAAAAACAAACAAACAAATAGATTAGTACATTTTTTAGAAATTTTCTTAGTTAAAATTAGAAGTTATCATTGAAGAAAAATCAATAAATGGTCAATTTTGGCATCTGTCATCCTTTTGTTTCTCATCTATCGTATTTGTTTATATGCGGTTTAAATAGTACACAGATTGAAATGAATATTATAGTAAAATTATAAAATAATAATTTGAAGTCCAAATACTATGTTAATATATGTAGTATCGGAGTGGTGGAGGGAGGCGGGGACGGGGACGGAAGGAGATGTGTGTGTGTGTGTGTGGGCGGGGGGTGTTATACATTAGTAAAAAATAATGATATGTTATTTATTTCAAAACATTGCATACATTTAAATATTATATCCGAATTGTAATATAACCTTTTCTATTGAATTTTTTTTCTATAATAAATAATTCATTGAATGACAATAATGTTAGTTTCGGTAACATACGAAACAATTGATCAGTTAATTTGTAAACTAGATAATTGAATTATGAAATTAGGCTAAAAACAATATACTGAATAGTGTGTGTTTAGGATATTTATGAATATATTCCCATAATAGAAGATAATAATCGATCATATGCAATGTAATCTCTACCATATATCATGTACTTTGTAGTGATCTTCAGAGAAAGGTGGCTCAGTGCAGTTCATTTTATTAATTGTGACAATCAATTGCTTGACACCCACAACATGTATGTTCTCTTGTTTGACCATTTTTGGAAATATCAACTTTAAACTTACCAACAGCAGTCGAAACAATCAGCATTGAACAGTCAACCTGACATGTTCCTATGATCATATTCTTGATAAAGTCACGATGGCCAGGTGTATCAATAACTGTGATCTTGTACCAAATGATATCGAAATTCCATAGTGCAATATCGATTGTGATACTACGTTCGCGTTTAGCCTTTAGTTTATTTAATACCCAAGCATATTTAAAAGAAACTTTACCCATCATAGCAGATTCTTTCTCAAACTTTTCGATGGTACATTTGTCAATCCCACTGCATTTGTAAATGAGATGACCGGTAGTAGTAGATTTCCTACTCTCTACATGTCCTATAACCACTGTGTTGATATGATTGGGTTGCGAACCCATTATCGGAACAGTGAACCAAGAGAACACGCCAAGAGCACGCAAACATATCATGTTAGTTTACATTAGCACACATGGAGGTAAATGCAGAATACTTCAAATATATATATTGGGGTAGATCGAGAAGATTAACTATATGTGGAAACAATATTTTACTACTGACTGTTTTAGCAGAATTACGATTGTAAACCAGGGAAAAATGAACAATTATTTCAGATTTACTCTGAACTCAAAGTTATTGGTTGATTACAGTATAGTGACTATTAATTTATCAGTGATGTCTAAATTCTGTTGATCAAGTTATAATGTGGCAACTAGTCTAACTGACTCGACGTTACATACACTACTTTGACATGTAATTGACAGGAAAATTCAGACCCGGGGTTTCTTTTATTAGGAACTAGATAAACATGGCCCTGTTCATTTTACTAAGTGATCAATTAATGGTGAATATCTGTCCTACAAGAGATAATTCATTGAGTGAATAACTCAGTGGTAATATTTCATCCTGTGAAGCTGAGCGACATGAGATCAAATCCAAAAGGGAGTATTAGTTCTCTCAAGACAGTTGGTACACCTTGGTGACAAGTCCCAACAAGCATGAAACGTAGATCCAACCATCTAATATTCAAAACCATTGAATACCTATGACCACATCGGGGACTCATACTTTTTGTCGAGAATACCTTACAGATTGGATCAATAAGCCAATGGTTAGTGTGTTGTAGATCAATGAAAACGTATTCAAATGTTCCTTGGTTTTCAACGATTTACTGTATAACATCGGCCCACGGTGAATATCTCTCTTCACAGCAGTGTTCATTGTGAACTACTTTCCATTGTTTAACTTGACCTAAACAACACAAGCCAATCTAGTATAAAAATCCATATCCATCCAAACTCATAAAATAGTCCTCAACTCATATAATTTTTATGTTAGGTTTCATTAATCTCATTTATTCATCTTAAAAGGTTGTAGATCCACGCTAAATTTTGTTCCGATTTCCAAGGTAGAATAACGTCTAGATTCATGTTCAACACTGTAGAATCAATATTTTCTGATATGATTAAGATTATTTTTGTTGAACATTAGTCAACTAATCATCGGAATTCGACGATAGTAAACAATGGAATTTCAAAGTGAGAAACAAAGAACAATAACACTGATAAATTTGTTATTTCATTACCGTTGAATGCACAAGATACTTTTGACAGATTACACAAACTACTTATGAGTAGATCAAATTTGTCACACAAATAGTCAGCTAATTAAAATAAGTGGTGTTATAAATATACGACTCTTGTTTTACACTGATAAACTTACTTTATGTGATCTTAAGTTTATAATTTGCAGTTTTTACAAATATTATCCGGCTTAAATTTGGTTTCCCACTTAGAGCAGTAATTGGTACTCATATCTATAGAACATGTTATGGGAATTGATCGAAATAGTATGTTGTCACTTCAAAACGAATCTGATTTTGGTATTCAATAGGAAAAATGAAACGAAACTAATAGGGACACTATCTTGAGCAAAAGTAATGATTTCGGATTGTGAATAGTAGTGGAATATTGATTCTACATTTCGTACTGTTTAGGATTTATTACTTGGAGATATACCTACTGTTTTCCAATATTGACCTTCATATGCTCAGGCTTGAACTCAATACCACTCGTTTCTAGGTGCATATATAATATAAAGGATTAAGTAAAAATCACTTTTGGATATAAACAATCGAAAGAAAATTACAAATCTATATTACTAATTATTTTATGGTATTAAATACTATTTATCTAACAGTTACATCCGTTACCTAAGACCAAGTTGAATGGAGAATGCTGGTTGGCGGCCTATGCTTCATTGAGAGTAACAGGTGTAAGTAATTAAGATGCAATGTAGCTACTAATTTAAGTGACTTGACAGAAAACCTTAATTAACTCACTCTTTGTGTTATTTAGCGTTCACTAGCAAGATTTAACTGTAATATTGAGGGGCTCCCAAATGCCCTGGTATGGCCGAGAATGGGGAGAGTCCGCTCTCCCTCTCGAAATGCTCTCACATGGCCACGCGTACATAGCCCCTGCCAGGGAAGTCCTACTCACTGCCTTCACGTGGCAGGGGTGTTGTTTACAAAAATGAGAGGACGAAAAGCGAATGTCCGGCACCGGCTTTAACCGGATCCCAAACCAATGGTGCACATGGACTGGCTCCAGTATCCTGAAGGAACAAATGGCGTATGAACCAATCGTTGGTCACCGGCTACCATGGGACTGCATCTCCTCACGATGCTCCACTGCCTTGTGGATCAGACGTTCAGGTCAAAGGCTCGGGGTGTGGTCCCTTAACAAAACCACCTGCTTCGGTTTGGGCACTCGGGCAGTATCACAGCCCTCACACAAATCAATTGAGATTCGTGTGGCGCACATGTATTTAGTGCCTCCTTGTACCAATACCTATGTGTTAAAATAAATAAATATTGAGGGAATTGATGCTTCCAGTGAAATTAACTTTTTTTCTTTCATTCTACTTGTTATGTTGTGATTACATGGGTCGATAAAAAATAAACAGTCGTACTAGGTTCAACATTGGTTCTAACTGACTGACTATCTGTTACCCCCAACATTTCTAATTTCAAATTTGATAATAATCTATACAGTAAAATGATACAAACAATACCATTGTAAATAGGTATGTTAGAATAGATTGAGATATCCTCAGATATAGAGATGGTCCAAGTGTTTAGAATGTTTCACTTGGAAGATCTATACCTACTCCACCTACTTCAGGTTTAGTAAATGGGTGAGTATCGCTAGCACTTAAAATTCAAACATGGTTTAAAGTTCTATAGTACACAAAGTTATGCTTAGTAATTAAGAACCATTGATTCAATGAACAACTATTAGTCCTATATCAATTGAAATCTTAATTCAAAGAGCAGAATTTTAGAGAATTCAATGACAATAAAAGTCAAACATGATAACAAGATAGAAATACTATGAAAACAAAGAAAATGAAAAAGAGAAAAAAAAATAAACACTTTAGTAAAACATATTTATTCATGTATACAAAACATTAAGACTAAAAAAAAACAAAACAATGTTATTCCCTAGGTGTTTGACGCCATAACTTCAAATCTTTTTCTGTATAGTACCATTTAAAAGATGTAGATCCTAATGAATTATTCAATAATCGATCTATAATCCATTGAGAGGTATTCAAAGCAAGATTTTTAAATTTGGATTGATTTTGATCTTCATTTGATAATTGTTGTATATCTGGTACAAATTCAATCTGTGTATGAGTAAAGAGAGAGAGAGAGAGAGAGAGAGGTAAACACGTTCATTGGAACACTACAAGTTAGCACATCATATTAATATCTAACGAGATGTGTAGAATTCAATAAATACAGTGGATAATTAAAAGGAGATGAAATTTTAGATATGGGGAGGGAAGATATGGAATATTATCACATTAGGAAACAATTAATTCAGATACTTAGGTGCAATCATGTCGTAGTAGTAACTATGGTGTAAATTAAAAAGATTCTTCTAAAATAAATTAGGCCCCCAAATGCCCTGGTATGGCCGAGAGTGAGGAGAGTCCGCTCTCCCTCTCGAAATGCTCTCACATGGCCATGCGTATATAGCCTCTGCCAGGGAAGTCCTACTCACTGCCTTCTCGTGGCAGGGGTGTTGTTTACAAAAATGAGAGGACGAAAAGTGAATGTCTGGCGCTTTAACCGGATCCCAAACCAATGGTGCACATGGGCTCCAGTATCCTGAGGGAACAAATGGCGTATGAACCAATCGTTGGTCACCGGCTACCATGGGACTGCATCTCCTTACGATGCTCCACTGCCTTGTGGGTCAGACGTTCAGGTCAAAGGCTCGGGGTGTGGCCCCCTAACAAAACCACCTGCTTCGGTTTGGGCACCCGGGCATTATCACAGCCCTCACACAAATCAGACAAATCAATTGAGATTCGTGTGGCGCATATGTATTTGGTGCCTCCCTGTACCTATACTTATGTGTTAAAATAAATAAATAAATAATAAATACATTTGTCTCATATCCTACTACTACTACTACTACTGCTCATATCACATACAGTATTGTAAATTGCATTGTACTTGTTTACATAATAACTGTTCACAGACTATGGTTCAATAGTATTGTAGTGAACACCAACACGGGTGGGGACAATCGAATGTATTAGACACAGAATTACAGGATTTGTTATTTAAAATCTAACAACCATATCGTAAATGCTCAATTTGTAAAATGTCCATCAATTATCTTAGAATGACTCAGACTTCCTTTGTTCTTGCGTTTTCATACAAATTGCATTCTGTTTTCCATTCTTTAATGTTCGATCTTCTTGTCTCTCTGATGCCAGACATTCTGTTCCTGACTAACATCATATACTACTTATGTCTACATAAAGTAGCACACATCACAGTATTATACGAACAGTTTAAATAAGAAATATGTGGTCGAAATAAATCCTACACGTTTTTGAGTAAAAAATCAGTCAGCTACCTCGTAGGACCAGGCACATATATGCATCGGTCCAAGTTGCCTTACCTCATTAACACAGCAAGATAAACACCGGAATCATAGGAGTGGTCAAGTCAATGGTGGTAATATATAAAAGAAGGATTGAATATAAGGATATAATACAGGAATGAAGAATTAGTACGTAGAAAGAAAGATATGAAGCGATTTTAATCTCATAGTTTAAGGGAAGACAGAGAGTGTATATACCGACGACATTGAGTAAAAAATCAATTAATTTTATTCGTAGGTTACATATTTTTGATCATAGATACATTTGAAACTATTTGAGTATGTTGTGACCATTAAGTAATACACCGGATTCAATGTTCCATGTTGGCTGGCATAAGAATAGATTGATAGAAAACTAGTGTTAATCAAACCAAATTGTGACATCGGTGTATGAACTCACTGAATGTTGGAATGAACCATGAAGTTGGATACAGACTACAAAGTTGTGATCTCAGTGATTATCATAACTAACATTGAGTGATATAACTCAAAATTGGTTCCAATGGAGCAGTTGTATTTCCTCCTTGTGGTAACATGAGATCTTGAAATTCAAAATTATTTACCGCTTTTTAATTTCATGATTTCATATTTCTTTTCAAATCAAATTATCTATGGTTAATATTTTCTACTATTGTGGTGTGTGCTACTTATGTAGACATAAGTAGTATATGATGTTAGTCAGAAACAGAAGGTCTGGCATCAGAGAGACAAGAAGATCAAACAGTAAAGAATGGAAAACAGAATGCAATTTGTATGAAAACGCAAGAACAAAGGAAGTCTGAGTCATTCTAAGACAATTGATGGATATTTTGCAAATTGAGCATTTACGATATGATTGTTAGATTTTACTAACTAATTCTGTAATGTACTGTCAAATACATTCGATTGTCCCCACTGGTGTTCTGTTCACTACACAATTACTACTGCTATCAATCTGATATTCATCTTGATAATGTCATCAGACTGTGTTGCTCTAGTAAGAGGAAAATTTGGTCAAGTTTTAGGTTGCTTATAGTTGACTGAATTTCGTCAATTCCCATTAAAAACGATTCACAAAAAACACTGTCAGAACATAAACACTCAATGAATTAAAGTATACAGTACACTAACAATAATGTTTAATAGGATATTCTACGAGTATTTTCTATTTATTTATTTAAACACATAAATACTGGTCTAAAGGGATACCGAATACCTATGCGCCACATAAGTCTTACTTAATTACTTACGCCTGTTACTCCTCGTGAAGGAGCATAGGCCGCTCACCAGCATTCTCCATCCAACTCTGTCCTGGGCAATCCTTTCAAGCTCTTTCCAATTCTTATTCATCCTTTTCATATCCGCTTCTATTTCCCGACGTAATGTGTTCTTTGGCCTTCCACTTTTCCGCTTTCCTTCAGGATTACAAGTTAGCGCTTGTCTCGTAATGCAGTTTGATGATTTCCTCAATGTATGTCCTATCCATCAACTCCATCGTCTTTTCCTAATTTCCTCTTCCGCTGGAAGCTAGTTGGTTCTCTTCCACAAAAGGCTGTTGCTGATGGTATCCGGCCAATGGATGTTGAGTATCATGCGTAGACAGCTATTGATAAATACTTGTACCTTCTTGATGGTAGTTGTTGTAGTTCTCCATGTTTCAGCTCTGTACAGTAGAACTGACTGCCTTGACGTTGTTATTAAAGATTGTGACTTTGATATTGGTTGAAAGTTGTTTTGAGTTCCATATGTTCTTCAGTTGAAGGAATACCGCTCTAGCTTTGCCAATCATCGCCTTTACTTCTGCATCTGAACCTCCTTGTTTATCGACGATGCTTCCCAGGTATGTGAAGGATTCTACATCTTCCAGAGTTTCGCCATCAAGAGTGATTGGATTGGTGTTCTCCGTGTTGTATTTGTGGACCTTGGTTTTCCCCTTGTGTATGTTGAGGCCTAGTGATGCAGAGACTGCTGCTATGCTGGCTGTCTTTATCTGCATTTGTTCGTGTGTATGTGATAGGAGGGCTAGGTCATCTGCGAAGTCCAAGTCGTCTAATTGGTTCTGAGCTGTCCATCGTATGCCGTGGCTTCCCTCAGATGTCGAGGTCTTCATAATTCAGTCGACCACCAGAAGAAAAAGGAAGGGAGAGAGTAGACAGCCTTGTCTTACTCCGGTCCTTACTTGGAATGCATCTGTCAACTGTCCTCCATGCACTACTTTGCACTGTACTCCGTCGTATGAGTTCCGGATAATGTTGACAATCTTCTCAGGAACTCCGTAGTGTCGAAGAAGTTTCTATGACGTTCTCCTATCTACACTATCAAATGCCTTCTCATAATCAATAAAGTTGATGTAGAATGACGAGTTCCACTCAATTGATTGCTCGACGATGATCCGTAGTGTCACAGTCTGGTCTGTGCACGACCGGTGCCACATAAGTCACTGACAGGTAAGTCCTACTCACTGTTGTTTACGAAATTGAGAGGACGAAAAATGAACGTCCAGCGTTTTAACCGGGTTGGTGGACATGGAGAGTTCATCTAGGAGAGTTGGAAAACTCTGATTCCAAACCAATGGTGTACATGAGCTCTAGTATCCTGTAGGAACAAATGGTGTATGAACCAATCGTTGGTCACCGGCTACCATGGGACTGCATCTCCTTACGATGCTCTACTGCCTTGTGAATCACACCTTTAGTTCAAAGGATCCTGGTTTGACCCCCTAAGAAAACCATCCGCCTTGGTTTGGGCACCCAACCGATATCCTAGACCTTACAAAAATCGAATGACAAAGTGTGGCGCATTTACATTTGATGTCGCCTTGTATCAATGTTTATGTGTTTAAATAAATCAATAAAACTACCCGAATACACAGACTGTTATAATTATTCTTTCAATTTATAAAACTAACCTCATTGAATATAGTATTTCTTGATCTTTCAATAAACTGTAAACGATTTTGAAAAAATTTTATACTTGATTCATTTGTCATTGATACTTTAGCAACTAATGAATTTAATTTCATTGGTAAATGTCTACCAGAATATTCAAGTAGACCAGCTAATGCTTCAGCTGCTAAACCATGACCACGATATTTTGATTCAGCAATCATTACAGATAATTCACCTGAAATATTAAATTGTATACAAATTCAATGATGCATAAAATAATTGAAAAGGAAGGAGACGAAGAAGAAAGTAACAATATTGGAAATAGAATTCCTTCGGTAACAATTTATAGTTATTTAGTGGGTAAAATGGACAGCAATAAATAACAAGGAAATACCTTTTTATTTATTTAAACACATAAATATTGGTAGACAGAGGCACCAAATAAATCATTCTATTTGTTTGAGGACTGTGATACTGCTCGGGTGCCCAGACTGAAGCAGGTGGTTTTCTTAGGGGGAAACACCCGGAACCTTCAACCTGAACGTCTGATCCACAAGACAGTGGAGCATCATGAGGAGATGCAGTCCCATGGTAGCCGGTGACCAACGATTGGTTCATACGCCATTTGTTCCTTGAGGTTTCGGGAGTCTATGTGTACGATTAATTTGGAATTAGGGTCTTCCAACTCCCCTAGGTTAACTCTCCATGTTCACCAACCTGGTTGAAGCGCTAAACATTCACTTTTCATTCTCCCAATTTCGTAAGCAACACCTCCGCCGCGAGAATCCAATGAGTAGGACTTCTTTGGCAGAGACTATATACGCATAGCCATGTGAGAGAATTCCGAGAGGGAGAGTTGAATCTCTCCACTCACGGCCGTACTAGGGCATTTGAGGACGATAAATGATCAAATACTGTACAAAACTTTCTATTTCATTAACATCGATTTGAATAGTATAACTATCTCTAATAAAAGAAAGTAGAAATTGTGCCTCAAAATACTTACATCCATAGATATTTGAAATTTGAGAGTGACCTTGCTGATATTAATGAAATAAGCTAGCTACAGACATGTAGTTACATATCAACAATGTATTATGTTACCGAATACTCATGTAAACTTCTATTCAATATCCTTTCTAACCGGTTACCCTGGAACTCACAGATTGTTCTCTTCAAACTTTTAGTATTTTCATCTTTGTTCATAATCGAGTGAGCCTATACAGAAAATCAGGGTACAACGTATCAAAGGTCACTAACTGTTAGCTTGAATTATGTAGCTGGCTTCCTATGTCTTGGTTGGAGTCTATGATATAGTTGTAAATCTATATTTGAAGGCTCTGTAGATGATACGGTTCAAAATGTTGTAGTACAATGCAGAAGTATTCATTCTTTTAAAAAAAATTACATTCAAATCTCAAGTTTTAATATTGGCTATATACTCATCATTTCAGGTTAGATTTATTCTTCTATTTTGATGGAGTTTTGTTCTCTGAGCTGGATGGTTTGGTTGTGGAGCTTTCATCGTTTTTCTAAACGACATCATCAGCACTAACTTCTATAAAATATATATACTATGAATTCACTTGATGTTGTTTTACTTGTATCTTCCGATTGTTATTTAGGACTGCAATTAATCAGCCTCACATTGGCATATGTGCATCCTGTACGGATTGCCTCGGATATAGCCTTAAGTCACAAGCTTTTTAAATAAAGATGGATAGTGGCTAGGGCAGACTGGATTCCACTACTTAGAAGTGAATTTAAACTTCACCCCATTGCATAAGCAGGTGGCCATCAGGACTCAATAGCTAAGTGGATAACGCAAGGGCGATTGAAGCGAACGGTACTGGGTCCGAGTACCGGAGTGAACATTGACTCTAGGATACAGGTACATCCAGTTGACGAGTCCCAAATAGGGTGAAACGCGTGTCCTGGTTTCCACTGCTAGCCACTATTCATCTTTGCTTATATATCCTATGGTTAATTGCCAATAATCAGTGATATCCGATTTGATAATAATGTAATAAACACTTGTATCTTCTGGATGATGGCTTTAGTAGTTCTCCAGGTTTCTGCTCCATACAGTAGGACTGTTTTGACATTTGTAGATATAGATAAATGAAAATATTTATTTCATTTGGATCGTTGCTTCATAAATTGCATTGATTAGTCTACTATTTTCATATATTCATAAAGCCTAGTGAAGATCTACTTAAAAACGATATTGTTCACTTAAAGGTTGTCGTTTTAATTTCTTTGAACAATGAAGAACAGTGTATTACACTTCTTGATAAAGTATAATATATTTAGATGGACTTTTTTCTCTGAGCTAGATTGTTTGGTTGTGGAGCTTTCATCTTTTGAACGACATCATCAGAACAAACTTCAGATAGAAGTGAAGTGTTCGAATTTCTCAATATGCATTTCACAGCTTGTTCTGTACACCTCGATATTGAGTGATTCTTATTGACCTTAAATTTGTCATTGTTTTGGTTGTGTCTCCCATCGGTTTGATTTTTGTTCTTATGTTTGTGCATAATTTTCCAAATTGGTTTATAAATTGAATCGATTTCAATGTGCTTATTGATTGCTGATTAACCTGAGTGCCAAGCTTCTAAAAAATCTCTGGTGTTTTTGGAATTGCCTCTATCCAAAATCTCCGCATTTTTTCAGTCGAATGTGTGTCCTCAGTTGTGAGGAAATATCATGGCATTTGACCGCTAATTAATGTTCATGTAGGCGAAGGTGAAGAAGAGGGCGTCCGCTTTGTCCGTAAACATACTATCCAACCTAAAGAACAAAACTCCATAAAAATCATCCATCTGAGCTACAAATCTTCTCTACCATCTCAATGTAATTCATAGTATCAAAACTCTCTTTATCTTAATATGAAATATGAAAAATTGAACCCGGATAGATATGATGTAAGTAGCATATATAATGATTACAATATTTCGCTTCATAATAGGTCAATTATACAAGATTAAATAGATAAATAATTAATATCGGAAAGAGTTTTGTAGAGATTGTAATAATTTCAATGGTTAAGATTATGAGTCAGTTGAAGCTAGACCACCACCATGGAAAACCTGGAAGCACTGGACGGCCGTTTTGTTCTATTGTGAGACTCCTTAACAGTGTGCATCCACAACCTCACCTCCTGCAAGATTCGAACCCAGGACTTACTGATTTCGCACTCGAACACTTAACCACTAGACCACAGAGCTGGCCAGTATCCAACGGTGTTAATATCTAACTTCAACTAATCCAGATTTTCCATAATGGTCTAGTTTCAACTGATTTATGATTTTAACTATTGAAAGATAAATAATTAACATGATTCAACATTACCTTCTAAATCATTAATAATATGAGAATATGTAATGAATAAATTGACATCACCAATCATTGAAAAAATTTCTGCATTTTCATGATAAACATTCCATTGTGATTGAATTATATTAATTTTCATATTATTCAATAACCAATAATCTTGATATAATTGTTTACTGAGTAAAATAAAAGTTAATCGATCATCTAAATTACACCATTGTTCTTGTGCTTTATATTCCTTGACAATATAGAATAAGATTGTTATTGTTATTGTTTTGAAAAAAAAACAAAAAAAAAACGATCAGATTGATAGGAATATTCATCAAGATTAGAATGATAAATAGTTTGGCAGAAATTGGGCGGCAACGATAGAGAAGTCATTCTATATACAAAATTATTATATTTGAAATAATTTCAACGATTGAAATTGAAAATAATAATTTCAATGTTTCATTTAGTTAACTTGTCTGAACTTCTTCTTCTTCTTCTTTTTCTTCTTCTTGTTCTTCTTCAGGGTGGAATAATCAAAATCAAAATCATCAAAGATGGACGAAATGTTAGAATTATTTCTTAAATTTCAATCGCTGAGATATATGTGCAACCCTTAGATAATGTTATGTAATCTATTTACTATATTTCTATACATGATTATGAGACATTATGTAAAGAACAATGATACTATTTAATTGAATTAATCGAAGTAGGGGGAATACCATGGAGTTCTTGAACTACCGAACCGATGCTTCAATATATGACACATAAGCTATATACAACTAGATATCGATGGTGTATATATATATATATATATATATATATATATATATATATATATATATATATATATATATATTCAACTTCATCGCTCTACATCAACTTCATTGACTACGAAAAAGCATTTGACAGAGTGGACAGAACAACACTATGGAAGCTTCTTCGACACTACGGTGTGCCTCAGAAGATATTCAATATCATACAGAATTCCTATAATGGATTAAACTGCAAAATCGTTCATGAAGGATAGTTGACGAACTCGTTCGAAGTAAAGACCGATGTCAGACTAGGTTGCTTACTCGCACCCTTTCTCTTTCTCCTGGTGATCGACTGGATTATGAAGACGTCAACATCTGGGGTGAAGCATGAGAAACAGTGGACATCTAGGATGCAGTTGGACGATTAACACCTCGCAGATGATCTGGCTCTTCTATCACACACGCAATAACAAATGCAGAAGACAACCAGTGTAGCAACCAGCCTCAGCAGCAGTACGTCTCAATACACACAAAGGGAAAAGCGAAATTCTCCGATTCAACACAACATGCACGAATCCAATTACAATTAACGGAGAAGATTTGGAAGATGTAAGAACCTTTACATTGTGGTGGTCGGTGTTCGATATATACCTTAAACTCCGTATATAGCTCGTCTCGGTAACCGTCACTAAATAACGCTCCAACGGTATATTAATCAGAATGCGAATACGAAGTGTTAATTACGTTTATTATGGGACCACACACAGATATCCAGAATTACAGATGCGTTAAACAAGCATGAAATAGTTGTGCCGAAAGGTAGGCAGGCAAGCGACCGGGCGAGAGAGAGCAAGGGCAAGAGCGAGTGAGTGAGTGAATGAACGAGCGAGTAATGAATATGAATAACATGGACATATATATACATAGTGAAATGAGTGAATCATCGAGTCAATTAAGCGGTTAATAGTAAAGCTAGTAGCGTGAATAAATGCGTAGGCAGTAAGGTTTGCCGAGCATACATGTTCATACATTCGCAACAATAATAAGGATACATTAAGTTATTATAGTGCAGGTGACTTGGTCCGTTTAATAAGTTAATAAAAGGGCTTAACCGAATTAGGTGAGAGCAAACTCAATTGAACGTGAGTTGCTATAACATATTTGGGCAGCATCATTGACAAGCACGGTGGATCTGATGCAGATGTGAAGGCACGGATCGGAAAAACAAGAGCAGCATATTTACAATTGAACAACATCTGCAACTCAAAATAACTGTCCACAATCTAACACTAAACTTAGAATTTTCAATACAAATGTCAAGACAGTTCTACTGTATGAGATGGAAACTTGAACAACCACGAAAGCCATCATACAGAAGATACAAGTATTTATTAACAGTTGTCTATGCAAAATACTTCGGATCCGTTGGTCAGACACTATCAACAACAAACTACTATGGGAGAAAACAAACCAGACCCTAGTGGAGGAAGAAGCGCTGGAAGTGGATAAGACACACATTGAGGAAGGCACCCAACTGTGTCACAAGGCATGTCCTTACATGGAATCCCTAGGGTCAAAAGAAAAGAGAAAGACCGAAGAACACATTACACCAAGAAATGGGTATAGACATGAGAAGAATGAACAAAAATTGGATAGAACTAGAAAGTAAAGCTCAGGATATATATATATATATATATATATATATATATATATATATATATATATATATATATATATATATATATATATATATGACCGATTCACTAGATACTTTATTTAGTGTGGAGTAAAATGACAATAAGTCATTCTGATTATCTTCGTTTCTAGTTTCCCATCTTCTGGGTATGAATATGTTATCTGTCCCCGTTGGTTATGTGGGCTGACGGTAATTATTTGTTCAAAATTCAAGTTAATACTATTTCACTATCAAAATATAAATATGTCTTCAAGTCAATCATAAGCCCGAAATACCGTTATGGATTAAGATTTTATTGCACAATAACTTTTTTTTGGACACCATGATGGTTAGAAAGAATCTCCAGGACTCCGTGGACTTGCGTGATAACTGGTAGTCATTAAGAACACATTTATGACATCTTAAGTGAATTTGAAACTATTCATAGAATTCCAACCAACTGCTTTAAGCTACTTAACATTGTAATAAAGTGAGTTGTGACATCAAGTAATATAGACTAGTAGCTAATTTATAAGTCAATTAATAGAATTCCATGTATATTGCCGATTAGACAGATGAAACATTGGTTACTGTTACTAAGCAATCAATTGTCTGTTATTTAAAAAATTACAATAAACTACATTGCATTCCATTATATATTGAATACCAGACCGTATACACATATTACCATTTTAGATTGGGAAACATTAGATAGATTTACACAGACCAACTAATTGATATATTTGCTATTATGAGATTAGATTTCATCAGTAATATAACTCCAAGTTTTTCGATATTATAACATACACATGAAATGATCAGTTGAAATAACAATAATCTACCAATTCAAACATTAAAGTATTCTTCAGTCGTTTATCATCAATGCAGGAACCCGGAACTTGATAGTACAGGGATAAGTCTTCCTAATTCATATCAGTCAGTCAGCTGCAACGTAGGACCAGGCACATATATGCATCGGTCCAAGTTGCCATACCTCATTAGCACAACAAGATGAACACTGGATTCATAGAAGTAGTTGATTCAGTGGTGGTAATATATAAAAGAAAGATTGCATATAAAGAGATAGTACAGGAAGATAGAATTAGTTGGTAGAAAGAAAGACATACCCGACCGTTGTTGCTACCTTGACGTGGTGGTCGGGCTTGCCTATCGTGATGAAGCAACTGAGCTAGACTGGCTGGAACAACCGTTCCTCAAGGTCCTACCATGCCAGACAGGTCAGTTGAAGAGTAGTAAAACTAAAAGCAACAAATCCAAGGTCCGAAGGCGAAGTCGTACTGCTGGCTGTACAGAGGTGTGACACCAGTAAGGTGTTTCCTTCAGACAACCAGCATGACAGCGATGCTGCCTTCCCACGAGGAGGGGTGGGGTTAGAAAAGGTCGACCCTAAAATTGCACACCTCACCTTATCCCACGGATATCCGTCTCCGGCGGTAAGGTCTCAACAAGTACGGAGCTAACACTAAAACTACTCATAAAAAGGTCGTCTGTGACCGACCGCAAGCAACTGTCCCTTGGGCACTGCAGTCACGCTCTCAGGTCACTATGACCACCTCTAACCCAATTTCCTTTCCAGGTACCTCCAGAAGAACCCTTCCACGGTGTGGGCGACCGGGAAGTGATAACCGCCCTCATACCTCTAACAGCACTCAAGACTCAATTCATATCAGAACAATGAGTGAGAGGAAATTAACAAACTGAATAGTTCAGAGAAGGGATCTTTTTTCAACGAATTTATTACCAAGTTGTACTAATCGTATATGTATACATATATACGGAGATATTTTTCGTATTACATAATCTAGTATTATAATCTTTCTATTACATCATTATGTCTACTCCTCGTTCACATGTTCTCATGGAACTAATTAGTTACTTACATACGCCTGTTACTCCTCGTGTAAGAGCAAAGGCTGCTCACCAGCACTCTCCATATAACCCTGTCCAAAGCAATCTTATCCAGTTCTTTCCAGTTGTTATTCATCCTTTTCATATCTCCTATTTACCGACGTCATTTGGCCTTCGCTTTTTCGCTTCCCTTCAGGATTACAAGTTAGCGTTGGTCTCGTGATGCAGTTTGGTGATTTCCGTAATGTATGTCTTATCCATTTCCATCGTCTTTTCCTAATTTCCTCTTCAGCTGGAAGCTGGTTTTTTCTCTCCCACAGTAGGTTGATGCGGACCAATTCACATATGTGACTGGTATGTATGTAGTCTACGCTACATATCTGACAGACTATTTGCAACCCATCCCGTAGAAAGCAACCTTGTTAAAGAAATGCTAACAAAAAGCCATTTAAACTCTGTCCTCCGACTTGAAAGAAGAATCATAAAACCTCATGATGAAAGCGATATTCTTCGGAATTCACGGGGTCAATTCCCCTCCTAACAACCAAAGCAACAATTAATATAGGTACATGTAATGTCGTAAAATGTGGGAAAATAAGAGGACTAATCAAATGGCTGTGGAAATCACGGGATACAACTTGGCGGTTCTCGGAATAAGTGAAATTAATTGGACGCAGGTTAGACAGAAAAGATTAGCATCGAGAGAGATACTGTTGCACTTTAGTCATGAAGAAGAAAATTTTATGTGTTGTGACGTAAGAGAAGCTGCATCGATGTTACTTAAAGAAGCATGAAAAACACTGATAGGATGGGAATCTCATGGATGTAGAATCGTCGAAGCATCCTTCAAAACAAAGGAGGGAGTTACAATTAGGTGACGCACGGAACCCAATGGACAGCTTAGATGAGACTAGACGATTTGGATTTCTCAGATAACCTAGCTAT